TGCAATTGTATAAAATATAAATTTAACTTAAGCACTGTTTTGATTCACAATAAATAGAAAGGAAATCAAGTCTGTCCTTACAAATTCAGATAAAGTGTAAGCTCCATCCCCAACCAGAAATTCTCCTTGACTCAGTCTTTCTCCAGCCAAAATGTCTCGGAACAGTTCACTTCTACGGAAAACTCTATTATCATTCATACTGCCGGGTTCTCCAACAGAAAAGTCCCTTACAAGTAGCGTGCTGTCTACAACAGCTTGGACAAGTATACTGTGACTTAGAAATCTGTTCTTGTATGCTGCTGCATTTTCAACTGGAGCCGTAACATACACATGGGTACCATCAACACTGCCTACGACACCAGGAAATCCAGTGGCTACCCTGAAAGTTTCTGATATTTGTACACGCTCTTCTTCATTTGGCCACACAATGTACTTTCCAGCCATTTCTCTGAGAGCCTGAATTATATAAGAATAGAAATAATATAGCGTGCTTGGGGTCACTCCAAATCTGAGGGCAACACTTCTAAAAGTGTCAGGCGTTGCTAGCTGCCACACCACCATTAATACAATGTCTCGAAGAGGGGTCCTGCGCCTTCGGAGCCTACCAGTTTCTTCTAAATGCTGTTCAATGATTTGAACTAACCTCTGAAAACAATTAAAGATCCATTTAAATAAATTAACTTTTTAAAAAAATGGCTCACATGAAAAAGATGAACAATTTAAATACTCACTCCAAAGACATGCTTAGACATTCTAAAGTGCAATCTAAAACACCTATCATTCATGTTGTGGTAATCATCTATGTTCACAGTAACATGCTGCCAGGACTCCAACTCGTCTGTTGAATTAAAAGTGAGCGGTAACGTAATAGCAAGAACGAAAATTTCCAACATTAGTATCAACCAAAGCTTACCTAACCCCACTCCTTCCTCCATCTCCATCCACTCATTTGCAGCAATTCGAGCAGCTTCCATCATCAACTGAAAATATTCATCTTCTTCTTCTTGAATTAATGCGAGAATAAGCGCCATCGGACACTGTTAGAAATTTTGTCGTAATTTAACGACAAATTTGTCGCTAATTTTTTTTCTAACACAAGTTGTTTATAAACGACATGATTTGTTTAAAAACAACTAGTCGTAACCAAAAAGTTGTTTGTGAACGACAAATTTGTTTGGGAACAATAAATGATTAACAACTTTATCATGAATAAAAAAGCTCGTTTAAAAACGAGATCCCTGTTTTAAAATGACAAACTCGTTCACTAACGACAGAACTGAGCAGATCAAAAATTGCATGAAAAAAAATTTTAGTTCACTCAAAAAAACAAAAAATTATTCCTTTAAAAAAGAATCTGAAATCTGCTTAAACATGTTCCCGGTACTCCACTGTCCATGCCCAGTTGCTTTGACCCGAGTTAAATTGTTTGCCTACCGCTGACTGCGCACTGCTTGAAGCCAACTGACCTGCTATGTCGCTGATGAAGAGCTTGCTGCTGCACTATGGAAGAGTGCATCCTGCCTTAGCTGAGCATGTTCTGTTTTGCTTTCTGCATGATGTCTCCAGAAGATGCCTTCACTCTGCACTGCTTTGATTGTAAGAGCTCTGCTTGCTTAATAAAAATAGAACTTAAAAGCACTCAGTGGCTTGGTCAAGTGTGAGAACTAAATCTTTAACCTATTCTTGCACGTTTGTCTCTTGTCACGTTCAGGAGACAACGAAATACACTGCACTTCGAAGTTTGTGTTGATGGCTAGGCCACTGGTAAACTTCACAACATTCCATCAAGTTCTTTGTGGCAACACCAAAACAAAAGTCCCGCGGGCGTGGAAACGCATGATAGGGCCAAAGGTAATCCATGGGGAGTGAAACAGTCCAATATCCCCACACAATTTAGCAAAACTTGGGGTGAAAACATTAAATTTGAGACGACAACGGTCCACCAAAACAAACACACGCACACCGACCACCGTATATGAAAAATTCGACATGAGAGTAAATATGAGAAATTAGGGTGCTCCCCTCTTCTACTTTCACTTTCATTTGTCAACTTGTTGTTTCTCATATTTACTCTTATGTCGAATTTTTCATATACGGTGGTCGGTGTGCGTGTGTTTGTTTTGGTGGACCGTTGTCGTCTCAAATTTAATGTTTTCACCCCAAGTTTTGCTAAATTGTGTGGGGATATTGGACTGTTTCACTCTCCATGGATTACCTTTGGCCCTATCATGCGTTTCCACACCCGCGGGACTTTTGTTTTGGTGTTGCCACAAAGAACTTGATGGAATGTTGTGAAGTTTCCCAGTGGCCTAGCCATCAACACAAACTTCGAAGTGCAGTGTATTTCGTTGTCTCCTGAACGTGACAAGAGACAAACGTGCAAGAATAGGTTAAAGATTTAGTTCTCACACTTGACCAAGCCACTGAGTGCTTTTAAGTTCTATTTTATTAGCAAGCAGAGCTCTTACAATCAAAGCAGTGCAGAGTGAAGGCATCTTCTGGAGACATCATGCAGAAAGCAAAACAGAACATGCTCAGCTAAGGCAGGATGCACTCTTCCATAGTGCAGCAGCAAGCTCTTCATCAGCGACACAGCAGGTCAGTTGGCTTCAAGCAGTGCGCAGTCAGCGGTAGGCAAACAATTTAACTCGGGTCAAAGCAACTGGGCATGGACAGTGGAGTACCTGGAACATGTTTCAGCAGATATCAGATTCAGTTTTAAAGAATTATTTTTTTTTGAGTGAACTAAAATATTTTTTTATGTAATTTTTGATCTGCTCAGTTCTGTCGTTAGTGAATGAGTTTGTCATTTTAAAACAGGGATCTCGTTTTTGAACGACTAAATAGCTGTTATTTTCTGAAACGGTAGAAATTGTTTTGGAACGATGTTTTAGTCGTTTTAATTTTGAATGAGTTTGTTGTTTGGGTACGACTAAGTTGTTGCAACTTTTGTCGTAATTCAACAATCTTTTCTAACAGTGGACCAGCCGCTCCTCCAAATTGCCCTTCAGCATTCATTATAAATTGTATAATTTCAGAAATAAGTACAGCAGGCCAGCCCCAAAACAAAACAGAGTTACCACCATACAGCACGTTTCACTAGATGGCAGCACCGGCACCGGCAGTCCCATCCCCCGACCTCCGTGCCCCCCCACCACTCCTGCTCCGCCTGTGCTACGCCGGGTTTGCTGCTCCGACTGCGCCGACATTGCTGCGCTGACTTTGCAGAGCCTTAACTGAATATAGCTTTTGCTAATATAAGAAAAATTAAACTTGTACATATTGCCCTCTTCTGTTAAGCATGCTGCTAAAGTCAAAAATAAAAAGAACAAGCAAAAGAGAAGATTATTTAACGCACAGTCACCAAATTTGCACTAGGACATACATAACTAAAATGCTTCAAATAGCTTCCAATAATGAACACAGAAGAAATATTAATTGATTTTTGCATACCCAAAAGAATGGAATGTACTTAATGAAAAAAGTAAAGCAGACAGTTGAAACTTTGAGACCAGACTGTCAAAAATACGAATCAACCAAAATTCATTCTAAACACAAAGAAGAAAGATGAACACACCCAACATCTGCTCACATAAAGCCACAGTACACAACAGTCTTGAACAACATCAGTACACACCATCCTGAAATAACATCACCAACAACAAGACAGGAATTTAAAAAATTGAAAAGAAAGGCCTGATTTCTTGTGAACAAACTTCTTCAATGTCCTAAGATACAATATAATGGACTGAGTGGGACTGAGTGTTTATAGAAACATATACAGGAAAACACGTATTTCATGAATTATTGCAATAATAATAATTAATTTACACTATTTCATTTTTACACAAGCGCACATAACTTAATATTTCTCACTATAAAATTAGCACAAAGACAGAGAGAGCTCACTTGACATACATATTCACACAATCCAATGTTCCATCTACCTCACATCGCAACCTCTCTTTCCAAAATAAACTTCTACAAGAATAAGATACCAAGACTCAGCAATTCTTTATAATTAAAAGATCACCCAGCCAAGTGACAATTTGACCGTTAGTAAAGATAAAAAGCTTTCTAAACTAATTATTAAATGAGCAGTGATGGAGCTCCTTTATTTATTGTACAAAGATAAATCATATAATAAACATACCAATCATTGGAACCAACAATCTTCTCCATGGCTCGACAAAGGCACTGCTTCACTGCCAATCAGTTGCGAATAAATGAGCTGCTCAAGTAAACTCCATGGGCACCTAGCCTTCTTGAACCTGCCAACACAGACAAAACAATGACACAAACAGCACTGAAATCATGGCAATTAAGCCAGGGATATTGTCGAGTTAAAACTTATTGACTAAAACACTTGACCGCTCAGGTTAAGAAAGAAAGCTACACCAATTTGAAACTTTGAGACCAGACTTGTGATATTATCAACTGAATAGAAACTGCCTTTCCTACCTCACATCGCAACCTCTCTTTCCAAGATAAACTTCTACATGTACAAAATTAAAAATAAGATACCAAGACTCAGCAATTCTTTATAATTAAAAGATCACCAAGCCAAGTGACAATTTGACCGTTAGTAAAGATAAAAAGCTTTCTAAACTAATTATTAAATGAGCAGTGATGGAGCTCCTTTATTTATTGTACAAAGATAAATCATATAATAAACATACCAAATCAGTGGAACCAACAATCTTCTCCATGGCTCGACAAGGGCACTGCTACACTGCCAATCACTTGCGAATAAATGAGCTGCTCAAGTAAACTCCATGGGCACCTAGGCTTCTTGAACCTGCCAACACAGACAAAACAATGACACAAACAGCACTGAAATCATGGCAATTAAGCCAGGGATATTGTCGAGTTAAAACTTTTTGACTAAAACACTTGACCGCTCAGGTTAACAAAGTGCATGCTGAATGAAAATAGACAGAAAAAGGATGATTTAAAATCGACTTTAGAACTGATTCTTTTGTTACTAAAATAAGTATATACCAACAAAAAGACACACTCCTAATCAGTTTCACATACATTCCAAAAAATACAACATTCTTCTTAATGTCAGAGGCTAAACATTTGAAAACTCTTAATTTTTCACAGATAATCAATGTTTCATTCTAAGTGGCTTTAGGAATTGAATTTTGTCCCATTTAGATACATCAAAACATGAACAAGGCCAGTCAGAGGATCTCTTCAATAGTCCAAATGACCCATCATGATAGCACTTAACCTCCCACATTAAAAAGGTCACTCCAACAAATCATTGTTGACATGAAACTACAATAAAATATTTTTCATTCAGCACTTTTTACACCTTTCATGATTCTACAAGATCTTTGAAACAACGTCATCACCGGTATCACTGACCCCAAATAGATATTTTTTATTTATAATAAAGCTACAACCAAAAACAAAAGAGACATACGCTCAGCCACAGCCTGCTAAAACACCCGAAAACGTTCTCTCGCGAACTGAAATCCTATTGGCTGTCTGTTCCCCCCACCCCTTGACACGTCTTTCACCGGCATAACCGTTGTAAATTCAAACAGCAAACGTTCACAGTTGACGTTATTGGAATTGCAAGTTATAATATAACCGCTAAAGGTACGTTGTATGAATTTAAATGATGATTCTCATCACATCAACGATTATTTTTGGCAATATAAATGCATGTTGCCAACGGCAGAACTTCTAGTGCTTTCTAAAATACAGCGGCAGTGGGCGTTACTACAACATCAGTTGGGGAGTCCCTTCAAGGTGCGACATTTCCGACTGATTTACTTGCCACAGAGACTCTTGAAAACTACAAAGCATCTATTACATTGAAATCGTACTTTATCGGTAGACATGGTTCTCAAAAGTGGGTGATACATCACTTTAAGGGGCTAAAATGCAGATCCGATTGACTTAATCACAACCATACGTAACCTGCAAAACATCTTATTCACCTATTGGTTTATAAACGTCTTACATTTCAAACAATCGTCATACTACAGCAGTCATAAGCAGATCTATCGTTACTCT